TGGCACGCAGAGGATCAGATGCAACACCAATGGGCCCGGAACCGATCATTCCTATTCCGGTAAGCTGGTTAATTGGTAGGATACGTGAACACTCGAGTAAACTACATCAACAATACTGGCACACTTTGGAAACCTGCAGGCAGGCCAAACTTGCACTACCCCGAGTGAACGCTCGCCTCTCCAAAGCCCTCCTACAGCTAAGTAAACCATATTTGCGCCTGGTAACGGGTGCTATTACTGGTCATGGCAACTTTAACAGGCACCTTTTCAATCTAGGTGTCACTGACAGCCCCTTGTGCAGAGGATGCATGGAGGCGGAAGAAACAGCCACTCACGTCTTGCTAGAATGCAACGGAGTGGCCAACTACCGGGCAAAGTACCTCGGCTCGCCGGGCAACCTCCAAGAGGCCATCGCAGATGGGAAGGCGCTCGGGGCGTTCCTGGCAGAGCTGGGCTGGCTGGAGTAGTATCCAGCCACACACCCTCCACACGTAAAATAGGCGCAATTTGGTCGTCGAGTTGCGGAGACGCCCGTTGTAAGAAGAAGAAGAAGATCATACATGACTTTTATGTTGATGATCTATTAACTGGAGGGGATGACCTTAAAACAGTTCAAATTATTCGCGCAGAGGTCACAAAAGCTCTCACTGCTGCTGGTATGCCTCTCAGAAAATGGAAATCCAACGAACCACGTTTGGTAATTCAGGACTCACAAGTACCATCACTGGATTTAAATATAGTAGTAGGTAGTGATGAGCCTAATAAACTATTGGATCTTACTTGGCATGCACATTCTGACGATCTCTGTTTTCCTATTGGTGCATCAATCCCTCATGGTAACACTAAGCGGGACATTCTCTCTGTTATTGCGCGCACATTCGACCCTTTAGGTCTGTTGTCACCATTTGTGATCAACATGAAAATGTTGCTTCAAAGATCATGGGTTGAAAAAATCTCTTGGGACGATCCCCTATCTAATGATATTAAAAAACAATGGAACGATATTCGTGAATCGTTACATATTTTAAATGAACTTCGTGTTCCCAGGTGTGTTATTTGTGTGTCGTATTGTTCTTTGCAGCTGCACGTGTTTTCAGATGTATCGGAGAGTGCTTGTGGGTCCTGCATTTACGTAAGAAGTGAAGATATTAACGGTGTAGTTTTAGTGCGTTTGCTGACGGCTAAAAGTCGAGTAGCGCCTATTAAGCCAACTACAATTCCAAGGCTGGAATTATGCGCTGCATTATCTGGAGCTCGACTTTACGAAAAGGTTTCCTCCTTATTGCAGCTACAGATAAACAAAGTCTTTTTTTGGACTGACGCCGCCATTTTGTTAGGATCGTTGCGGATGTTGCCTTCCAGACTTCAGCCGTTTGTTCGCAATCGCGTGTCAGAAATCTTGGAGAAGACAGACAACTGTATTTGGCAACACGTCCCAACTGAACAAAACCCTGCTGACCTAATATCTCGTGGTGTGGATATTAGAGATTTAGCAAATTTGAATATGTGGTGGAGCGGTCCCGATTTTCTGTGTGAGGATTCTTCAAAGTGGCCTTCCCAACCTAAACATCTGGAATTATTGCCTGAAACTAAGCCAGAAATTTCGTTAACTGCCGTTACTGACGCTTATAATGATCATAAATTTATTAATATTAATTTTACGAATTTCTCAAATTACTTAAGACTAGTACGGTCAATAACATATGTATTAAGATTTATTAATTATTGTAAAAGGATTTCGTTTCCATCTGCCTTCTTATCAGAAAAGGAACTACAAAATGCACTATATTATTTTGCCAGTTGTTCAATTAGAATTATTTCCTGCATATAACCTTTTGTTAAATAGAAAACCGTTACCTGCTAAAAGTCAATTATTAAAATTTTATGTATATTTGGATGACAAAAATATTATGCACGTCGGTGGTCGTTTTGATAACTTAAACTTTTCAGAGGATAAAAAACATCCAATCACATATTTACAAAACTATTATTTAATTATGAGCACAAAAAGTTATTGCATACAGGTCCGCAATTATTACTCGCATCAATACGGGAGCGATACTGGCCAATAGGTGGTTTGAAATTGGCCAAGGCTTGTTATCGCGGTTGTCATATTTGCACTCGTATGAAGGGGAAGGTTGTAACCCCTTTAATGGGAAATCTGCCAAAGGAGCGTCTTACTCCTGACGGTTATCCCTTTGAGAGCACAGGTGTCGATTATGCGGGACCAATCATGTGTGCAAGTCGCCAAGGCCGTGGATGCAGACTGATAAAGGTATACATTGCGCTTTTCATATGTTTTACTACGAAAGCGATTCACTTAGAGTTGGTGGGTGACTTAACTGCTAACTGCTACCTACTTGCCCTACGTCGATTTATTGCACGGAGAGGTAAACCCATACACATTTATTCCGACAACGGTACCTCATTTATTGGCGCATACGACGAACTATCAAAATTTCTTAAATCTTATTTTAATTCTTTAGGAGAAAGTGCTGCCTGTGAAGGCATTAATTTTCATTTTATCCCGGCCTATGCTCCTCATTTCGGTGGTCTCTGGGAAACGGGTATTAAATCAACTAAATATCACCTAAAAAGAGTGTTGGGGAATTGTAACTTAACCTATGAAGAGCTTAACACTACATTAACTCAAATTGAAGCCGTATTGAATTCCCGACCGTTGACACCGCTTTCGTCAGATCCCGCCGACTACACTCCGCTTACACCAGACCATTTTTTGATTGGGCGTCCACTCACTACCATTCCAGAACGTCATTTCCATTCCCAGTCTTCTAATAACTTGACACGTTACCAGCGTGTGGAACAACTGCGCCAACATTTTTGGACGAGATGGAGCAAAGAATATGTTGCTGAGTTGCAACATCGAGTCAAGTGGCGGACGTGTCAAGACAACTTAGAAGTAGATACGTTGGTCGTGGTGAAGGAGGACAATCTTCCACCCCTGAAATGGAGATTAGGAAGAATTGTGGCAGTCCATCCTGGACCTGACGGTGTTGTGCGTGTGGCCGACATTAAGACTGCAAATGGAGTTATCAGGAGAGCCTTAAGCAAGATCTGCCCTCTGCCTGTTGCCGTGAATCCAGCTTCTGGTTGAACGCGTAGCCTTCAACGCCCGGGGGCATGTTTAAAGTACCTACCAAACTTACTGAGCAATCATGGCGCTGGAAGAAATTACTCCTCCTACGTTAAGATCTACCTGACTATAATAATAATTAACCGATTAACTGTTAGCTTCCATCTCCGTTGTTTCATTTCTTCAAAAAACCCCTAAAAATATTTTTTATTCAAAACAATAAGTAATGACAACTACATAAATCATGTCATTACCAAAATAATATGTATTATCACAATAATAAATACAACTTTCAAAGTCTGTAGGACATAGGTTGAACATATAATTAGTCTTTATAGAACAAAGCGAAGGCTATTAATTCCATGCATTGCGATCCTTAAAAAAATCATCAACTTTATAATAGCCTTTACTCATAAGTATATTCTTTACATCATATGTAGATTCTCAACGTGGGCAATAACGCCCCCTTGTGGGCGTTTGAGACTTTCGGGGGCGCAGTAGAAGACCCAGAGAAAATTAGGGGGCATTGAGATGGCGCAGAGGGGGCGTGGGTAGATCATAAATATAGTCTAAAAAGGCAAAAAAATATACGCTTATCACGTACTAAAATAAAATAAAAATTAATATCGTTTAATTTTTGTTATTGTAGGTATTGTAATCATTCTTATCACGTGTGCACGTATTTTGGTAGGGTGGGCAATGGATTAAAATCATCATTATTAAAAACTATAAAATAAAAAGTACTACAATCGAGGTTAAACTACAGAGATTAAGATTATATAAATTTTAATTTCCAAAAGATACTTCATATTTGTTGAAATTATAATAAAATAAACATACACAAAACATTAATTAATAAATTAATAATTATTAATCGATGTTTTGTGTATGTTTATAATCTAAACTGGCAAGCGAACCGGCTTGGGGCCGCGCTCAACCCCTGCCATAAAATTTCAGATTTATTTCACTAAAATGGCTTATTCCGAATGGTTTTTATTATTTCAAGATTAAATAGATTAAATTATATTAAGTCTTCGGGGCATTCGGGAGTCAGCAAGTGACGTACATGCGTCGACAGGTCTGAGCCCGCACTCTGCTCCCGCGTCGCCCTTGACCCCGCGCGGCGTCCGCCCTTACCTTTCGCGCCGGGTGTTATACTTTAACGAGTCACTGCATGTTTATCTTATTCCTGTCGTTACATGTTAAATATCTCCAACATATATAAAGGCAATGATTGTTCATTTTATTTTCATTAGCATTATCGCGCGCAATTGAGAACAGGGTTTTAAAAGTTAATCTTTTACTCACGTATCTGTAAAGTGCAAACCATGTCAGAAGCAAAAAAGAAGAGGCGGCAGTATTATACGGATTATATTAAATACGGATTTATCGAAAATCCCACAAATCCATCATCGCCATTGTGCCTTATTTGTAAAAAAACATTTTCAAATGAAGCGATGAAGCTTTCTAGGCTCTAAGATCATTTTAATAAAATACACCCGGATAAGAAAGACAACGATGTGACCTATTTTCAAGACATGAAAAAGAAGTACGAAATTCAGCCAACTATATCAAAACTTTTTTCATCTGCTTCTAAGCAAGACGGTGACGGACTTCGAGCTTCGTACAATATCTCATTGTTGATTGCTTTACCAGCAATCAAAGAAGTAATAACCACTATAGTCCATAAACCAGCTGCAGATTTAATCCGAAAAATTCCTTTGAGCAATAGTTCTGTGCAAAGACGAATAGATGAGATGGCTAAAAACATTGAAGAATCATTGTGCAATTATCTGCAGACTTGTCAATTTTCAATTCAGCTGGATGAGCCCACTTTACCCACCAATGAAGCACTGTTATTGTCATACGTGAGGTTCATTAAGGATGAGAAAAAATTTCAAGAACTATGGTTTGCTACAAATTTGGATATCCGTTTCCAAAAGGAGAAACTATATTTAATACTCTTGAAAAGTTTTATGCTGAAAAAGAAATTCCTTTGAATAATATTTTGTCAGTTGCTACGTATGGCGCACCGGCTATGACAGGGCGTCACAAAGGCTTAATAGCGTGCTTAAAAAATAATGTTCCTGACGTGCTTGCTGTGCATTGCGTAATTCATCGCCAGCATTTGGTTGTGAAAAATCTGAATGAACGCCTCCATATATCACTGCAATATGTCATCAGATCAGTCAATAAAATCAGAAGTAACTCGTTGAATGACAGATTATTTAGTCAGCTCTGCATTGCCAATGATGAAGATTTCAACCGACTGCTGCTTCACACAGAGGTGCGCTGGCTGTCAAAAGGTACTTGCTTGACTCGATTTTACAATCTGTTTGGATCTGTGATAGAGTTCCTAGAAAACAAAGACCCAGAATTGCACGACAACCACATCTCATCAAAGAAAGATATTGCGTACTTGACAGACCTGTATAAATTGTTTAATTATGTCAACCTCCAACTTCAAGGTGATGACTTAAACTTGATTAAGACAAAAAATAGCATTGCTGCTTTCGTATCCAAACTACTATTATACAAAAGAAATATCGGCAGACGGGAATTCAACAACTTCCCAAATTTATCACGAGTATCATTCAATAACGACGACTTGGTTGTTTACTGTCAACACTTGGAAAACCTCCACAGAGATTTCAAAGAACGATTCCAGGACGTTTTAAACATGGACATACCAGACTGGGTTTTGGATCCTTTTTCAAATGTTAACACAGCAGGGTCATCCCAGTTAGAAGAAGAACTAATAGAACTGACGACAAATGAGGAATTAAAAATTAAATTCAAGAATGACTACCAAGAATTTTGGCTGCAGAAGCCGATTTCACAACTGTACCCAGGATTATGGTTGATTGTTCAACGATTTCTGATAGCTTTCCCATCTTCCTATTTAGCTGAACGTGGATTTAGTGCTGTAGCAACGTTAGTAACTAAAAAGAGAAATCGGCTTCATGTTACTGAACGCGGCGACTTACGGTTGTTTTTAAGTAAAATCGAGCCTGATATTAACAAACTCCTTAAAATGCATCAAATTCAACCTTCTCATTAGTTATGTCATAAATTCATGTCTTTTGAATGAAAAAAAATACACCTCAATATAACTAAGCATGCGTTTTAATTGCTCCCATTGAAACATTCTTCTTTCATTTTAAACTCAGAAATAAGATAGGGGTCATATTCCTATCTTACGACTTTAATATAATATCTTACGTTTAAATATAATCGTGGCAATAGCTTTTTTAAATTAGCGACAGATGGTAAGTAAAATTAAGATGGACTCTAGAAAAAAATATATTCTCAAAGTGGGCGGTAAGCAAAATAAAGTTGAGAAACTATGCTTTACATGAATTTGAAATTTATTTATGGGTAGATCAATTACATTTTGTGGAACTTTATTGAACATAGCAATACATTTACCCAGAAATGATCCTCTGGTTTTTTGAAGTCTGAAGCTTGGAACGGCAAGTTTATTTTTATTTCTTGTGTTAACATTATGAACACTACTTTTTTTTGTGAAGGAATCGTAATGTTTTCTTGTGTTCATAATATTCTCATAGATGTATTGAGAGGCAACAGTCAGAATATTTATTTCTTTAAATATTTCTCTGAGAGATTCCCTAGACTGTAAATTATATATAGCACGGACAGCTCTCTTTTGTAGAATAAAAATATCCTGAATGCTAGTCGCAGAACCCCACAACAATATACCATACGTCATTACACTATGAAAATAACTAAAATATACCAATCTTGCCGTTTCAGCATTTGTCAAGAGTCTAATTTTCTTAACAGCAAAAGCTGCAGAACTCAGTCTACTTGACAAGCTATCAATATGAGGATCCCATTGCAGTCGGGAATCTAGTGTAATACCAAGGAACTTTGTCGATTCTACTAACTCAACTTTTTCACTATTTACATTTATAAGTGTACTGACATACCTCACATTAGGTAATGCAAACTTTATGCATTTCGTTTTATTTAAATTGAGCTTTAAATTATTATTATCAAACCCCTGTAGAACATAGTCGAGAGCATTATTTACATCGTCAAAACAATAATTACCCCTCTCAACTTTAAACAGTAAAGAGGTGTCATCTGCAAATAATACTGTCTCGCACAAATTCTTCGTAAAGTGAGGAATATCATTAATATAAATTAGAAAAAGCAACGGTCCTAATACCGATCCCTGAGGTACGCCCATAGTAACTGGTGCCCCTGCAGATTTCGCTTCATTAATTACTACTTTTTGAATTCTAGCAGAAAGATATGATTTTATTAGATTAAGTGAATTCACGGACCGCAGCCAACACGTCATCCGACTCTATGGTGATGGGTTTCATCGCATCTATCGATGCACACGCTTCCTCTATAGGCGCCATCCATTCGCCCTCTATGTGCTCCACAAGCCGGAACCAGATGTTCCGCCAAAAGGCAATGACATCTGTGACATTCGGTCCTTGGCCAGTGGAGGGGCCAGCTCGTGTCTCCCATGTACGGTAAAACTTCTTTTGGTCACTCTCAAAGAGACGATTCTGGCGAAACCTTGCCCCTCTCTCCGAGTACTGCCGTATCCGACTTCCCCAAGCCGCAATTTTCTGTTTCAGGTCATCGATGCGCTCCGACACTTTTCGCATTAAGGCGGGGTCTGCAAGACTGAAATCTATCCCCGCCATTGCCATGTGTACGAAACGCATCACCCTCGGCCTCGTATTGCCTGACCTGAAACTAATCAGTTTGCCAATGAGGACTCTTGTCTCAGCAATACGTTTTATAGGGTTGAGCGTTAGGAGGAAAAGTAAATCGAGTGGATGCTGGATAAACACTGACTTTAATAATCATAGTGTGCTGTATATATTACACATTACACCTCCCCTGGAGGGAAAAAAAATAAAATAATGCTAAAATATATAAGGGCCACATTAATTATTTTTATTTTTAATTAATTACATTAATTATTTTTATTTTTAATAATAAGAAAAAAAGTATATATTTATAAGTATATATTTTTGTTTTACAAGAAATATGTATCTTGTCTTGCATTTCTTTTTCCTATACCTAAACTAAAAAAAATAAGATTAAGAACAATAATATAGTGTTACTTATCCTAATACGCGATATATGTTACTCATTTAGACATTAAGAGACTTAGACACGCGGCGTGTCTAATCATGTTCAACTAATAACTAACTATCTTAAATTTATATCAAATAATAATGTATACATTTCAATCGATATACATTCTTGTCCTGTTTTTATGTACAATTTCTCTTTTGTCGTTTTTTAGAATCTCGACATTGCAACCTAAATCTTGTAATACCAAATAGGGACCATTATATACTTTTTCGAACTTATTTCCTGTTTCGTTTTTTAGTAGCAAGTATTGATTTTTCTTATACATAACAGGATTGATATTACTATCATAAACTACTTTTCTCTTTATTTTACTTTTAACTAAATTAGTCTTTGCATCTCTCTGTGCAACTTGCAGTCTATATTTTAGTTCCAATGGGTAGCTGTCATAATTATATAAAGGATCTACGACATTGTTGGTAAGATTATTTGGTAACAAGCATGACTTACCGAACACTAACTCGTGAGGTGTATACTTGGTCTCGCTGTGAACTGTATTATTGTATGAGAAGCACCAATAAGGAAGCCAGTTGCTCCACGAATTACTATTATTTAAGCACTGTATTCTTAAGTACGCACCCATGCTTTTGTGGGTGTTCTCCAAAGCTCCTATTGACTCATGGTGATATGCTGTGGATGATAATTGATTTATTTTTAATAGCTCACATACCTGTTTCATTGTGGTGCAGATGAACTCCGTACCTCTGTCAGTTGCTATTTGTTGAGGGATTCCATATCTTAAAATAAAGTTGTTAACGAAAGCTCGAGCTACCGATTCGGAATCTTTAGTGTACAATGGATATGCTTCTATGAACTTTGAAAGTTCACATTGTAAAGTGAGTACATAAACATAATTATTGTCATCTTTTGGTAGCGGCCCTACGATATCTAGATAAACTTTTTCGAATGCATAGTTGGAAGTGCTTGTGATTTCCATCGGTTGCTTCGTTTTAACCGTATGTTTTTGCATTTTACATTGCGCACACTTATTTACAAAATCTACGATATCCTTGTCCATGCCAGGCCAGTAGTAAAATCGTTTAACGTTATTAGTCATTCGCCTAATGCCCGCGTGGCCACTTGTGGGCAATAGGTGAAAATCATTTATAACTACGCGTATGTCGTCTTTATTATTCAATTTTTGAATATTTTTTAAAATACATATTCTGGGATCGGTCCATTCCTTATATGATTTTATTTCGTTTAATAGCCCAGCTATAAAATCTTCGTTATATTCATTTTTTAATACACATATTTCATCTACATTTATTTTTTTACATAGATATGCTAGATCTCTCACCAATACGTCTCGCGTGATCGGCGATCGAGATAAACAATCGAAGTAGATACTCGAGCTACTGGGCACATACACAAAATACTTAGATCGAGCTTTTATTAAACATTTTTGAAGTAACATATTTAATTTACTTTTATTTATTAATGCGAATTCTGTGAAATTCGGCAGTTTTTTTATAATGTCTACAATTCTCGGTTGATCAGACCTCGAGTTATTGACGTTATTAGCAACCGATGAATTTCCCGAATTATGCTGTCGTTGCAAATCTTTCATTCGTCTCGCTTGTGCTCTAGTTACCACGTTAACGATTTGTTCGTTCATATGTTTTAAATCGTCTGACGTAATAATGACTCATGACAGCGCATCTGCCGCTGCATTTTTACTGCCTTTTATATATTCTATATTGAAATTATATTCTTCCAATTGTAACCTAAACTTTAACAACCTACTAGAAGGGTCGCGCATTCCGAATAAGTAAACTAATGGTCTGTGATCAGTTTGTATTTTAAATAACTTGACGAATAAATAGGGTCTAAAATACTTTACGCTCCATACTATTGATAAGAGCTCTTTATCAATAGTGGGGTAATTCACTTCAGCCCTATTTAAACTTCGACTAGCGTAGGCCACTGGCCGACCATCGCCGTTACAAAGCACGGATCCTATAGCTATTGCTGAAGCATCAGTTTGTAGAATAAAAGTGTTTTCTTCCGAAAAGTTAGGATATTGAAGTACGGGGGGACTAACCAAGGCTTTTTTCAAAATTTGAAAAGATTTTTCACATTCGGGGGTCCATACAAAGGAGGCATGTTTACAACAGAGCCTATTTAGCGGATATGCAATTTCCGCGAAGTTATGAATAAACTTTCGATAGTAATTGGCGAATGCGGTAAAGCGCCTTATGTCATCACTATTTTTAGGAGTGGGGTAATTCTCTAAAACTTTGGTTTTATCTGGGTCTGGTAATATACCTTTTTCTGATACTATATGCCCTAGATAAAGAACTTCCTTTTTTAAAAAATTACATTTAGATGGATTAAGCTTCAAATTAACTTTTCTTAGACGACTAAAAATGTCCATTAGGTTTTTATTATGACTTTCTAGATTTCTGCCTATACAGATTAAATCATCTTGATATACCATACATTGCTCGTAATTCAACCCAGACATTGCCACGGTTATCATTCTGGAGAAGGCACTAGGGCTCGTTTTGAGGCCCATGGGGAGCCTAGTCATCTGGTACTAATTTTTGCTTGTGGTAAAGGCTGTATATGATCTACTGTCTTTATGTAAATTTAATTGATAGAAGCCTTGATATAAATCTAGATGTGAAAAATATACCGCGCCTGTTAGCGAATCTAAAATTTCCGAAATATTCGGTAGAGGAAACTTATCATCCTATATTTTCTCGTTCAATTTACGATAGTCGATAACAACTCGCCATTTTTTAATGACTAATGAATCGTGTTTTTTCGGTACCAGCAATAAAGGACTCGACCATGCACTCCTACACTCTTCTATTATACCGTCGTTTAACATTCCTTCTATTTGTTTATCGATTTCATTTTTCTGCGCCTGTGGTAAACGATATGGTTTAACATATACCGGAGTACTATGCGGTTTTAATTCAATTTTTTGTTCGTAAATGGGAGTTGTACCTAACTTGTCTCCGGGTAAGTGAAATATGTCGGGAAATTTAGCGCAAATATTTTCTATAGATATTTGCTCCTCTGTTGTCAAACCGTTTAAATTCAAAGCGCTAAACAAGTTTTTAACCCTTTCGGAGTTTATGCTTGATTTACTAAATTGGCATATGTAATAATCCTGTAATTTAGATAAATTCGGGTTAAAATAGCTCAAAGTTACGTCAGTTTCTCTCGTATTTAATAACTTAATTGGTATTTTACCGTTTCGTTGTCTAGAAATTGTGTTAGCTAGGTAAACACCTTCACAGACTTCTTGACTGTTAACTACACAATCGTAAGTAACATTGGTTTCGATATAATGAATTGACTCGCTGCGTGCTGGTACTATCAACGAAAAAGGAGTGTTCCTATTTGAGTAATTAAATTTTAATGTAACAAATTTTCCGCAATGTGTGCTTAGTTTTAATGTATTTAATTCATAATTTAATACCGCTTGATATTTAATTAAAAAATCTTGCCCGATTATACCATCGCTTTTACATGGTAACTTTTCGAAAACAAAAAATTTATGTTCGAAAATATAATTAGCTATTCTTAACTTTAAGTAAACATAACCATTCGATTCTACCGAGCCGCCAATTCCATTTATGCGCAGTGTTTCATTATGGAATGGAATCTGTAAGCTTCTTAATACATCACGCCTAATTATGGATAGCGACGCGCAGTATCAACTAGCCAATTATGCTT